CAACTCTATCTATAGATAGTGAGAAGATCCAGCACTACGCCTCTATGCCATGGAGCTCAGAAATGCCCTATAAGACGCATATATCAAAAAAACCAAAAGAATTAGAAGCAAAAGACCACAAAGAGCAACTAGAAGACAAACATCTACTATCTATATACTCAGACGCCTCATCTACAACAAAAGGCAAAGGTATAGGAGTAGGAGTCGCATTCTACAAAGGAGCCACCCGTATAGCCCAACAAAAAGTTAATATAGGCTATAACCAGCTAGTCTATAATGGAGAGCTAGAAGGGATCACACTAGGCTTAGAGAAAGCTATTGACCTAGTAGACGACTGTCTAGAAGTTAGAGTGTACGCAGACAACCAAGCTGCTATACTTAGGCTAAAAACTGCTTCTAACAACCCTAGACAAGAGTGGCAGATTAGATGTATAAAAGCAGCAGAGAAACTACGAGAAATTAGGCTATCACCTACAATATACTGGGTACCAGGCCACCAAGATATTATTAGGAACGAGAGAGCAGATACACTAGCTAAGGAGGCAACAAAGCTAGATCCTAGCTCTACTAGAACAAGCCTAGCTGTAATAGGCACACGAGTAAAACAGCTAGGCCAAAGAGAATGGCTTACATTACTTGAACAATATAAAAAGAAGGCTATTAAGCGTAACTCTAATACGTACGCTGCAAAGTATAAGTGGAAGATTAGAAAGCAAATAGCTATTCCCTCTACTAGTAGAGAAGTGTCTAGCGCCTTCTATTAACTTAAGCTAGGGCACTGCTATCTTAGAAGCTTCCTATTTAATTAAGAGAAAGTAGACTCTAAAGTATGCCTTTGCAACTATAGAGCTACCTAAGACACTACGCATATCCTACTTAGCTGTACGCTATACAAAGAAGCTAGAAAGAAGATGTAAGAAACGAGCAAGGACCTACTATCACTAGCCTTCTTACTAGAAACTAGTATAGGCATACAGGCGACTATTAGGTTTATTAAAGAGATAAAAGCTGGGACACAAGCCTGGTACAAAGGAGACACCAACAACTAGGGCGCCACTAGCACTAGTACCTGCCCTACACCTACCTTACCCCACCTACCACCCGCAAGACCCCCTACTACCATCCGATACACTAGGCTACGAGCCTCACCTTCATTTAGATAACCCCCTCCCCCACCTACATCAAATTGATAGAAACACGTAGATACTTGTAGACCTCTGGTCTACACGTCCTATATAGCCCTAGGGCTGAGAAAGGACGTTAAATCAAAATAATAATTATAATAATACATCTAAATAGAATATGAGGTAGGTCTTGTATAGACCTATAGTTGCAGGGGCAACTATTAGAATCTACTTTCCCTCTCTTATATAGGTAGTCCCTTAGGTAATAGTGCCCTAGTTTAAGTTGGTAGAAAGCGCTAGAAATCTCTCTTCTAGTATTGCTAGGAATAGCGATTTGCTTTCTTATCTTCCACTTGTATTTTGCTGCGTACGTATGTGGATTCTTGCTAGTGGCTTTTTTCCTATACTGTTCAAGTTAGCTTAGCCATTCTCTCTCTCCTAGCTGCTTAATTCGCGAGCTAGTAATAGCTAGGCTAGTTTCGCTAGTAGAAGGAGGGTCTAGCTTAGTAGCTTCTTTAGCTAGGGCGTCTGCTTTTTCGTTTCCAGGGATATCTTGGTGGCCTGGTACCTAGTAAAGGCTAGGGCGTATACCTATCTTCTCTAGTTTCTTTGTTGCCTTTATACATCTAATTTGCCATTCTTGGCCTGGATTATTAGAAGCAGTCTTTAATCTAAGTAGAGCAGCTTGATTATCTGCATAGACTTTTATATCTAAACAGTTCTCTGCTAGCTCTATTGCTTTTTCTAGCCCTAGGGTAATACCTTCTAGTTCACTATTATAAACTAGTTAGTTATTTCCTATAGTATATTGTTCTTGGGCTATTTGTGTTGTTCCTAGATAGAATGCAACCTCTACTCCTACACCTTTGCCTTGCTTTGTAGCTAAGGCATTAGAATAGATAGATAGGAGGCTGTTATCTACTAGTTGTTCCTTGTGGTTCTTTGCTTCTATATTTTTAGGCTCTTTAGATATATAGACCTTATATAGGATATTCAAGTTCTAAGGTATAAAGGCGTAATGTTGTATCTCCTTAGTATTTCTAGCAAGGACTGTGGAGATAGATCTAGTGATCTGATCTAGTTGTTCCCCTTTATTGCTAGTTATAGCAATATTAATTGGGTGGTTTAGGGCTAGTTTTTGAGCTCTAAAGGCGTATTGTCGAAGAGCGTTGTTTAACCTTACTCTAGGTGGGTAAAGGCAGGCCTCTACCTCACTAGGTATAGTTGGGGAGGTCTTAAATGTGCCTAGAATCTTCCTACACGCTCTGTTTTGTAGTAATTGCCTTTGTTTAAGAGCTAGTTGTTGTTGTTTCTAGAAGATCTAACAACCATAGTCTGCTACGCTAGTGATGCAGGCAAGGTATAATTGTCTAAAGGCTCTAGGTGATAGGCCTTTATTGCTTAGCCGAGTAAAGGCTTAGCTTGCCTGTTGATTTCTAATAAAGCAGTGATCCTTGAACTTAAGGGCTTTGTCAAAGTAGATGCCTAGCTATCTAATTTGCTGTTTTAGTTGAAAGGTCTTCTAGGTGGGTAGTGTGAGAGAA